TCGACTCACCTGGTCTCAGGAAGCCCGTTTAAAGAAGGAAGAAGGGAAAGTGGAGCCTCTGGAGTGGAGGATCAGGGAAGGTTCAAGGAAGAAACACTCACCATCTCTTCTTAGGTCTCCTTGGCCAACACACAGCCCTGCAAAGAATCGTCCGTGAGATGCCAGCACCTGCACGGAGCCCACGTCATCTCCCTCCTGGTCCCTGAGGGGCCGTCCCAGCGCTCATGAGTTTGGGAGTTCTCACTGTCCTTTCGCTGGACTCTGGTTTCTGCTCTCACCTCCTCCACCATTTCTTACAGAGTTTCTCCTGTGCTGCTGTCGCCTCCCAAGGCCCCAGGCCCTTTCTCGGTTCCAGACAGTCCCACAGACCCTCCCAGAGTCGCCTTCCACCTGGACCGCTCTTAGTGTAGCGTTTCCATTGAAACCTGGGTCAGAGTCTCCAGACTCCTCCACCCCCTGCTTGGGGTTGGAGGCAGGAGCCGTGAGAGACTGGGGCAGGGTGGGATATGAGGGTGGCCCCAACCTACCTGTGATGTATCTCAGACCCTAAGTAGACCTGACTGTCTATGCACAGTCTCATATATGATCAGAAATCCACCATATAAAGGGTATTTGGTGCCTTGAGTGACAAAAATTAAGACAGAACCACTTGGTTGTAATTTCTTAAGAGCGTTCATAGAAGGTTACCTGTCTTACACCATGGGAGACACAAGGTATCACCACCTGTGAGCACCTGGGAGGTGGGGGCTCTGTGCTGCTGGCCCCAGCATCTTCCCTGTCTACACAGGTCTTGGCACGTAGTTGGACCTCATCAAGTGCACACTGACCGACTCACAGGCGCCCCAGCATGAGCACGACTCAGAGAGATCTGACAGGGATGAGAAAACGTGCAACCTTGCTGTAACCGCATCTTCCCCCCACCAGGTTAAGCCCACGTCCAAACCTCACCGTAAGTCACCAGCATCCATTTGGTCAGCACAGGTTGGCTCAAAGATGGAGCAGACCCCATCATTAGAAAGCACTAGTTAAGTCAGCCTCAGCCTTTCCTCTGAAAATTTCTGATCCAATTTTTGCCATGATCTCTTTTCATCGTTTAGTACTCCAAGCAGGACAGAGGACACTGCCTGGTGCCCTGTAACAGGCCTCACAAAATCCAAGTGGATATTCCAGGGGAGAGAAAATGCAGAGTCCTCCCCTGTCCCATGTGCAGCTGCAGCTACACAAGACCCCAGCTCAGCCACTCTTACCCGTGCCTACACGTCTCGCTGCCCTGGGGGCTGGGGAGAAGTCCAGTGCGTAGCCCAAACCACAAAAGCATTGATTCAGAATCTCCTGGACTAGGGCTCAGGTGCCAAACTTTCAAAATCCCCCAGGTGATACAAGCATGCAGCCAGGGTGAAGAACCACTGCTTTCACTGAACCTGGAAAAGCAGTGCTCGGGACTGCAGCATAGACACTCGGAGGTGATTCATTTACCAAGACATGGAAGTAACCTGAATGTCCATCGACAGATGATTAGATTCAAAGTTGTGGTATATATACAACAGAATACTACTCAGCCATAAAAAAGAATTAAAAATGCCATTTGCAGCAACATGGTTAGACCTAGAGATTGTCATTCTAAGGGAAATAAGTCAGGCAGAGAAAGACAAATATTGCATGATATCACTTATATGTGGAATTAAAAAAATGATAGAAATGAACTTATTTACAAAACAGAAACAGACTCATAGACATGGACAATAAATGTATGGTTACCAAAGGGGAAGAGGGGAGGGATAAATTAGGGGTGTAGGATTAGCACATACAAACTGTATATAAAACAGATAAACAACAAGGACCTACTATATAGCACAGGGAACTGTATTCAATACCTTGTAATAACCTGTAATGGAAAAGAATCTGAAACGTGTATATATATACACACACACACACACATACACATATATATGTATGTATACACACACACGTACATACATATATATATATTTATATACACACATATGTATAACTGATTCCCTTTGCTGTATGCCTGAAACTAACTGACATTGTAAATTAACTGTAATTCAGTTTAAAAATCTCAGTTGTCTTAGAAGCCTCCAAGCGAGAGTGATTACACATATCTGGACCGTTCACGGCCATCCTGCCATTAATGCCTGAATGTAATAGGGACAGGTTTGCCTGAGTGCTGACATCTCTTTAAAATCAATACCAAGCATGTTTGCTAACATTTTTGTAAGGAAAAGATTGCTGTAACTCAACGGACGTTGGTTAGGCCTGTGTTTCTAAGAGATTTCCTCTTTTCCCCTGGTGTGGACTAAGTGGTTTTGTGTCTTAGTAATGAAAGAGAGAAGTTGCCAGGTCTTTGTTGAAATGGCATGGGCCGATCAAAAATACCACGTCCATCAAAAGCATAAATGGATGAACAAAATGTGGTGTACGCACGTAATGCAATACTATTCGGCCATTAAAAAGGGATGAAATTCTCACACATGCTACAACATGAAGACGTTAGGCTAAGTGAAATTAGCCAGACACACACACACACACACACACACACACACACACACAAATATTGTAAGAGTCCACTTATATCAAGCACCTGGAAGAAATTCTTGAAGACAGAATAGAATAGAGGTCGCCGGGGGCTGGGGAGAAAGAGGAAACAGGCTATTGGGTAACAAGTACAGAGTTTCTGTGGGGGATGATGGAAACGGTTCAGGTGGTGGTTGCACAGTGTTGTGAATGCACCGCACACTGCTGAAATATATACTTACAAGTGGTTGAAAGAAGATGTTTTGAAAAGTTAAAAAGCTTAGGGTTCTTTGGAAGGAATTGTTAGTAGAGTCAGTGCCTAACCAAGTCAAAGGGGAATGAATGATAAAAGTAATAAGAGGAACAAGGGCGGGAGGGTAGACCTCAGTGGTAGAATGTGTGCTTAGCATGCACAAGGTCCTGGGTTCAGTCCCCACTACCTCCATCAATTAATTAATTAATTAGTTAGCAAAGCTGATTACCTCCCCACCAAAACAAAGCAAAATTGTAATGAATTAAAAAAATAAATAAATAAAAGTCAAAAAGTTTAAAGGATTCTTTAAAAAAAATTTTTTTTTGGATCTGAACTGTTCTGGACTGAATTTGGCTTCCCTGCATACCACCTCTGCAACGTGAGGCAAGCGACTTCATTTTGCAAAGTCAGATTCGATTCCTAACCTGTAAAATTGGACCTCGTCCTCCCTTGTAGCGTTGTTGGTTGGTTTGTTTCTGGAGGGATCAGAGTGGTATTTCCCCAATGTGGACTATATCGCACTGTTGCCTGTGATGATTTTAGGTGCAAGGAAGGGTGGTTAAAGCACAGAACGACAGCATGCAGTAAGCGCGCTCAGGGTGCTTTGATATATCAACAAGAAAGCCTGTTTGAAGCTAGCCTCTAGTGTATCTTGATCACAGCTAATTGCCTTTATAGCAAAGAAATAGTGGTTTTCAGGTTCAGAAGCTTGACCAGGAACAGTATCTAGTTAGAATCTCTTAACATTGTTTCCCTCTCGCTGCATTTCCTTTGCGGTTACCTTCTGTTTGACACTGGACTTTTATTTAGGGTATTGATGCAGAGCATCTGACCTAAATATTTTTATTTTGGCAAAAGAACTTTGAGTCAGTATTAAGAAAAACATGACGCCAAGAAAGTACAGGTGGTTCAGCAAAAGTCATGAAGCTGAAACAAGAGTAACTGAAATTTGTTGAGCGCTGGTTTAGAGGTAATGTGCACGTCGCACTCGGCAAGATTTCCGATACATAATATGCACTTAGTCGCCGAAGCTGATATCATTATTTCTCTTTCCAATCCCAGTCCAAACCCCTCACCAGTTATCTTATTTTTTACCATCTCAGTGTGCCGCCCTGGGAGACTTACTGAAGCAGAGGAGGGAAAGTAGTAGTTCAGGAATCATTGTGGCATGTCCGTCTGTCCAGGGATCCGTCTTCAGCTTTGCAGCCACAGAAGGGGGAACAGCTAGAACGGTCACAGCCTCACCCGTCGCCCCAGAGTGTGGGCAGTGACATTTTCCTCTGGCATTTCAGTTCCCTCTCCCCATAGTCATCTTCCGGAAACACGTTGATGCTGCTGATTGCAACGCATTTCTAGCACAGGACGAGCTCAGCTCACAGAAAATCCTCATCCTTCTCATTCAGATGTCAGGTGTCTAAGTCCGTAACCCCCCAGATGCCT